TCTGATGCTGCAGCTCTCACAAGATGGATCTCCCGTCAGGTGTAAAGAACGTGTAAAAGACGACGATTTCGCGTATGGAAAATTGTATGGAGTCCATGGAATTTCCTGGTGAGAATAATAAAAGGCATTATAAATCCTATGACCTTACAGAAGCACTAAATACTCTGTAGGTAGATATCGACTAATAAGTCAGCAGCTGCCCTACCTGCCTATCTTGATACGTTCCACTTTATGGAATTACGGAATTGCGGTACCGCATTGAATAGCCACGATTCATCAGAATGGACACTCATGAATAAGAAGAGACTGCATAACGTGTCACAGTCATCCCGATCTTGGGATAACCTTTAAAGGATTCCCGTATCAAGATACGCATGGGGTATAACGATTTTTCAATGGCAGTACCAATTAGCCTTTTCTAGAGTCCACGAGGAAATGCGGATACCTAAAACAGATAGGATTATAAGAATCAAATACGAACGAGGCAACGAATGCTTCCAATACTAAATTGTTTTTTAGTCGTTTTCTGAATATTCGTATAATTCAACAACAGTCTGGGCAAGAGTGTGCAACGAGAGGCGAACAAAAGTAAAATGCAGTCGGATCGAGGAAAAGCCAAAAAGGAAGAAGAGGAACAGGAGCAGAATGAAGAAAAGGATGGAGTATATAGTCAAAGTCCGAAAGAGTCATGTTGGCCGAGCAACAACAGCACGACCAATCCAAAGGTAGCACAGTAGTTGTATAGTTGTATGTGGGCCACGAGAAAGTTGGTAGTACTTTTTAGTCAGCTCGCCCCCTTTGTACTCGTAATTGGAGGATGCTGAGTTGGGAAGTCTCTTCTGCGCGTCGGCGACTCTTGGTACTTTTTGTACCCAGCTACCCGACGAGTCCTGATAAAAATTTATGGCACGGCCATATTTCTCCCTTTACCCTTTTCAATGCCGCTTCTCGCACCGGCCATCCTTTGGGATACAGACAAAATCCAAAAAGTCAATACCGAACGATTATCCTTCTGCAGTGCTACCACAACACGCACTGCAGCAACGTGAACTATGATCTTCTGAACTAAGGGAAACTTTATTCATTTTTTCACCTTGTTTTCCTCTTTTTTTTTTCAAACTTCATGGACCCTCATGCTTCATCCCTTGCAGAATAGCTCCAAGCAACGAAGATACGTTTTCTACTGCAAGATTCTATTGTTACATACTACGGTAACAACTTCAAGACTATAGTTCGATCTTCGAATACGTTAGAAATGAACCCCCAAGAAAACCATAGGACATACAGCAAACAAGAAACGTTATAGTCAGACATTACAAAGTGATCCGCAAGCATGATTTTAAAAATAATTTCCGACCCGAAAGAAGACCGTCGAAGCCTCAGGGCAGAGGAAAGAAAAAAAAATTACAGGAAATAATTCTTCCTCGCCAAACCCAGACGTGCTCCACTTTCGTCCTGTCCTAGTCGCGTGCGTGTCCTCCGGCAGCGCTGGGACTTCTTTTTACTCTCTTTTCTCTCAATTCGATTTTCTTTCTCCACTCATACACAGACCTCTCGTCCGCGAGAATGCTCTGCCTTACTTTCGAGGTTACTTTCCCCTGTGAAGTTCAATGTCTTATCACAGGTATAAACGCACTGACCACCTCCCAACTTGTGTTCAGCGTCCAATCACTATTATTCTCCAGGAGTAAATGGCTACCCACCTGCACTGCGAGACAGGGTAGAAACTCGTGTGAACCAGAATTACTTAGAGGAATCATGACGAGCTGTCATGTGAAGTGGACTTCAGTACCACGCACTGGTGTAATATACAACCCGTGTATACCAGAAGAATGTAAAAATGCATCTTTACTACTTTTCTTTCCCTACCACAATTCCTAACACGGTTTTCGCGGCTTAAATCATGGCGCCTGCAATTCCGGAAATAATTTCATGGACAAACAATCATTTCGTTCTGTCGACAATCGTTTCCTTACCTCCCACGTTAACGGGAGAGAAATCTCAAATGATTCTTTCTACGCAGTGAACGTGACACCCGTCTCGATCACGTGGCGAGGCACGTAACGTCAGTTTAATAATGACAGATACTGGGCGAGTCTTCGCCCCATAACGTAATGCTACAAGAATGATCCCACAGGAAACTTGACCCTCTGCATATTAATAGTTTATGATAATGGAGAAGCGACTGTCCGATCGATTACACTGTGGAATTCCGATATAGCCACCCAATACCCTATAACCAGAGAACCCCAAGGTTCCCGCTTCCGCTTATGGCCATTAGCTTATTGGTTATTTAACATTTTACTGCACCTGTTTTATAATACAGTCCCATCTACTCTTTCCTTAAACTGCCCCCGTGGAATCGCATCCTGTTGCATCGGACATTCCTACCGATCGCACCCAAGTACAATGCACTTTTATCGGCAATCAGGTTTTCAGGTTCTTCAAGATAGCTTAGGATCTTGCGCAAGACGTTACTTATATTATGGGATCGTCAAGGACATCGATTTACTACGTAATCACGATAAAGTATGCAGATATACACTGCAACGAGTAATGCCAATTGATCCCGCGAAAGATACAAATTGCAATCCCACACAGTCCACGTACTGTTATTTCATTTGTTTCTATATTCAAAGAAGCTGGTTAGCGCACGCGGCGCCGGCTTATGTTAAGTGAGATTTTCCGCTACGCAACAGAGAAATATAACGTGTCTCCCGATTCACGTCAATTCCATAAATAACGTGGTTCCTCGGGACGTGCGTATTTTCGCAGACGTATATACGCGTGCAACGAAGCGTGCTGGCGAAACCGGAAGTCGACTACGATAAGTTCGTACGGAAATATCATGCTGCTATACGAACGTATTTCTTCGACATTCGATGAAGAAGTCGTGGTCATGAAATTTCATCGTGGTGTTTTTTTTCCTCCGTGAAAATTTGCATTTAGCAAATGGAAAATTTATCTCGTGAGAATTTAACCGAGGATTCCGGTAGATATTTACTTTTGGAGTCAACGAACCCCTTTTACCATAAGCTATCCAACGTATTTCTCGCGGTGCATAGAAATTCAATGTGCGTATCTAGGAATTCTGGATATTACAAGATGACCGGGCGCAACTGTCGTGTGATGAGCGTGAACGCCATCACGCATAGAAACGTGACATCCTTTGAGCGTGACGAGCCGTCACGATCTCCCGTGACAGAGAGAAGTGAAATAAAAAGTAAATAACGTAACGCGTACAAGAAAAGTCTTGTGAATTCACAAGAGAAGAGGCTCGTTAGTACGATGATGCAAAATGAAAGCGAAAATGAATAATTTTCAGCAACAAAAGTGCAGAGGCTGGTAAGTGTAAATTTTTCAAAAAAAAAAAAAAAAATCTATGCCTTTTTCAAGCTTCCTCGTCTCAGGTATAAATATAACTTGACGAATGGACCATAATTCTCTAGAACCAGCAATATGGGCGTAGATAGAAATACATGCTCGTTACCGTTACGAAACCCCGAGAGGAAATACATACAGAGAGGTATCTTAATGCAGAGACCACTTTCTTTGGAAGTATTCAGCGAAGTTACTTTCTGAATAACCAAATAAAGCCGGACGCGCAACGGTAACGAGCAAAACCCGGATAAAGAGCCTCAAGTGGAATATACGTAGGCTTAAGTAACAATTTTTTTGTTATTGCGCGACCAAGTTCGACTAATCGATCCAACGATATCGAATTGCGTTAAATTGAATAAAAAAATAAATAAAACAGCGACGCGAATGCCGGCGATGAATGCATAGATAATTTTAGAATAGTTTGTACACAAATAGCATTATAATAACGCATGGCACAGTGTATACCTGTATATGAAAGGAGAGTTCAGCACATGTGGCACTGAAGGCGGGTTCTGATGCAAGAGTAAATGACTGGCATCATTTTTATCAGTCGCCGGGTTTTCATCTTCAAACTTTGATGGACGGCCTAACGGTATATTCTATGCTTCAGCAGACAGATGCATCGTCGACGTATTTGAATGATGAAATTTTTTTAACTCAACAACACCAACACTGATAACAGTAACGATAGCGTTTTTCGAGCAGTCAGACTTTGTGCACGGATGATTTTATCGCGACGAAGTTGTACACCTGGCTAAACAGATTCGTCTACTGAGAACCGTGTAATTATAAGAGGCTCAGACAGTTGAGATCAAGAAATGATTGTCCAGCATATGAAGCTGAACTATAGTGAAAGCATTGCTTGTGTTCTGTGTTCTTCTGCCAAACATATGTATCTGGCTTTCACGTAACTGGTATACTATTTAAATAGCTGTGTACATATACTGATATATCCGTGACTGCTCTTGCGCAATTTTTTATTGCTCGCAGTATTTAGGTAACGACACAAATTTCAATGCGCATTACGAAGTCTCAGTCTTGATTGTCCTCGAGGATTCCACGCGTAATGATCATCTTTTAATTGTCAGTGAAAGTATGCAGTGTAACGTGTAACATTATATTTTAATGACTGACTATATTAATACATGGAGATATTCTCACGAATCGCAACAACACTAATGTCAAGTCGCTCGTACCATTTTGCAGTCTACGTTGTGCAAAGTGACATGCGAGATGAAATTATAACCTGTGGAAAATTATAATCATGCTATAATAAAATGGGAAATTGTGACAGTTTCACCGTTTAAGAGAAACTGCTAAAAGGTCTCGAAGATGGTTTCGATTCCTTTGGGATGAAACTTTCGACACGGAATGATAATTAATCGGCATTAATGCGATACCCTGATAATCATTATAATAGGAGTACTGGCTCTCATTTGTTCAAACATGAGATCAGTTTACGGCTTGCATGCTTTAAATTGCTCTGGCTTATATATGGTGCGCCTGGAACTTGTTTTTTTTTTCCGCTTTGTATTCATCGGTACTTGTGCTAATGGTAATAAGTATGCAGTATATACTTGTACCATTGAATTATGAATTTACATTGAATATTGACTTACCTGACTCTGTCCGACGCGATACGACGCTGGATCGACGTCCACCGTCAGCAGCATATCCTCGACGGCACGACGTTCGTCGGCTACAGGACTACCTGGACGTGTGTTTGTATCGTTCGATAAGAGATTGAAACGCCTTCTGAATTCACCCAGTGGCATACATTTTGGGTAACCAACTTTGTGCAGTCGGACTGCGTCAATGATTTGACTTCCACGGATCTGAAGCCAAAATAAAATTATAGTATTTAACGTCTTGTGCTTAAGGATTGCATAAAAATTTATATGCTCGTTTATTTTTATTTACCTGCGATCGCAAAAGAGGAACGTTAATAATACTGTCTTCACTTTGATTCGACTTTACTGATAGTAGACTCTTGTTATCTGTGCATCCTGCGTTGTGCTGGGGTAGTAGACAGTGTACAAACTTCACCCTAGTTCTTCTTAAGGTCTCCACGAGTCCGTCCTAATATGAATGTCACAAAATTATATATGGACTAATTACAATAAGTTATTGAGTCTTACTCGTGTCAATAGATCGATAGTAAAAATTATGAGTAACAGGAGTAGAAATTCGTATGAGAAAATTAAATGACAAAGCTGAGTAAACATTTTAGGAATGTGAATGATCCGTAATCAGGTCACTGGGATCCAGCACTCTCGAGTGTACCATTCGCGAATGCAGTTGTGAACTGATTTGAAGTTTCACGATAAAGCTACCCTACAACTGATAACATTGAATGATCTTTTGACCCACGTCAATATATTGAAAATAACCTCACCAGACGATTACTGACTCTGGACTGTTACTTACTACTGTGAATTTCACTTGAAGGCAGATATTCTTCCTCTTCACTGCTGTAAACGTTCTGCGAATACTCGAAGCTCTTCTCAATGATTGGGAACCTTCGAGGCCATGAACGGAGCCACTCAAAGCACCAGAAACGCCCGCACCACGCGCACAAACGAATAGTCTGCTGATGTCCTCTCTTAAAACAGAACAAAATGTTTTATTTCATGAACTACAATGATTGTGGATGAAATGGCAATTATAAAAATTTTACCTGGCACTCTCTTGAAGGATGGTAATAGCACTTTTGGCCACGGGATTTTCGCGAGTGGCTTTGAGCCATCCTATCGCAGTATAGAGAACAGGATTTGTTCCTTGAAGATGCTGCAAAACGAACTGATTGTTGCCAGGAGCTTTTCTCAGCAGTATTTGATGATCTGTAATATTCATAATATTGAATAATATGAAGTTGTACAGGAAACATCTATGGTACTGAAAGTTTAAGTATTACCTCGATCCCCATAATGGGAGAATAGTCTATCTAAGAAGGTTTCGTCACTTCCGCCAGGACACACCGATTCCTCGTCAAGAAGCCACAACAGTCCTTTCCGTTCACCCTGTCTACTACTGCTCAGATCACTCTGACTTGTCCTAAGCATTGTTGCACTTTGAGAACCACCCCTGTCCAGAAGCGAGACCAAGGCCTGAGGAGAACCAGCCCCATCCGCATCATAGTCATCGTCATGGTCAATGTCTATACCCTCTTGAGCGTATCTTTAAATTATAAAATTAATTTGCAAAATCATAATGAAGTATCGATACATGTTTAATTTAAAAAAATCTATAAACTCACCTGTCTTTCGGCGCTACCAGAGTGGAATGATGAAAAAGAAGCTGAAGCCGTTCCTGTAAATAATTATGACAGAGATCCTCGAAGGAGGCACCAGTCTGTCTACCACAGGATGCAGGATTCTGAAATCCTGGTACATCGCACAGCAATAGGGAGGATACGGTATGCACCGAGGATGAAATGGATCTAATGAATAAAGAGAAAAGATTCTCGTTAGCTTATTCTCATATGAAAACACCATAACTTTTTTAAACAAAAAAAAAAACAAATTTTCTAATCTTACTTATTAATCAGAGCAGCAACACAATGGAAGACTTCAAAATAAAGACCAACGAGTAGTCCTTCCAACGCATCAATTCCTGTAACGTCCTTACTTTGTTCAGTAGGACTAGGAGTTCGTAAAGCAGGTCTCGGTGTATTCGGGGTACCTCCTCCACCATTGCAAGAGAAAACAGCCCTGCTAAGTTCCTCGACAGAAGTGCCAAATAGGGTAGCAGCCCTCTCGGCACATTCAACCCTTGCAAACTGCCATCTGCTTTGTGAACTGGTGCCAGCTTTGACTGCACCAGCGCAGCTCAGATGATAAATACCAGCCAGCACGAGCCAAATGACTTTTTCATCAGCCTCAGAAACACCAAGGATCTTAAAGGCAGCTACGATCCTATTAAATTCAACCATAGCTCTTTGCTTGTCCTCGTGCTTTTGTAAAGGTGTTATGAAAGGATTATTTTCGGCGACTAAATTAGTCAGATGCAATTCCTTTCTCAGTGCACCTTCTGCGCCGGCCAACAATCTGTAGACAGCATGAAAGGTCGGATCGCCATTCGATCTTCGTCCGATTCTTGATTTTTCCAGTAACAAGACCTTCAACAATAAACAAGGCAGGACGTTAGTTGAATAACGAATATTTGTGTTGGCACGAATCCAGAATTAGTTAGAATAGCGTTACCTGTAATGACGCTGATGCTATCTGACCAGACTGATCAAAGTCTAGGCTGAATAATTGAGTGAATCTGGTTGCATTCGAATTCATGTGAGTTCTGCTGTTGCCAAAAGCTTCCAGGACCGTGAATAAAGCGTTGAGTTTTTCAATAGTCAGGATCTGTCAATAAATTCATCATATAAATATATAATTATTATATCATACATTAAAGCATTGTTCCGTAACACAAGCTGCATTAGAAAATATCAAACCTTGTTCACAGTGCCAGCAGCAAGTACAAGATAATGTAGAGCGTGTTTGAAATTAGTAGTTTTACCAGCACCGCTACGACCAAGAAACACCAGAGAATGATCTCTACGTGTTGCCAGCATCCCTCTATAAGCTGATTGAGCCATAGCATAAATATGCGGTGGCATATCCTCACTTTTGCATCCCTTGAACATGTGTACAACCTGAAAAACAATGAATCACGTCGCGAATAAGTTATTTAATTTACATACAATAAATATACTTAAGTAAAACGCATATTTTTTTTACCTTTTCAGAATATATTGCTAAAGGTGCGACAGGGTTGATGACTACCATACTCTCCCCAGCATAAGTATGAATAAGATTAGAGGCGTATCTTTGTCTCAGTGTGTGAAGAACCGAAGATTCATTGAGAAATCGTAATTGCGAGAGTTCCTCAGCCTTGTCGAATTGCGGTGGATTTGCCTGTGTGAACAAACCATAAAGTTATGATTGTTCAGTCCGAAAGACTAATGGTTAAATTACAAACTGAGTTATTCTCCGTTCTTATTTGTTAAATTGAAAAAAAAAGCTGTACCACTTTAATCCAGTAAACGTAATCCATTAAATAATATTAAAAAATAAAACTTTGTTTAAAACTGCCAACAAGACAACAACTGTCGTCCATATACAAAAACGACTGTACTACACGAAAAATACGTTTACAAGTAAGCGACGAAGGGTAACAACAGTCACTGATATTATCAAAAGCCAGTACCTAACCAAACGACATGTACACAGAAGAGTCATCATTTCTCGAAGTTCATACCAACGGTACTTTAAAGTGTGAATTAGTAACGGCTACGTAATTAATCGGCTTATCGGATTCGTCAGAGCGCTCCGGTACAGTACCTTTTCGACGTCTTCCTCGTCGACCAGTAATTCCTCGCCAGAGGGTATCAATCGTACGCGTAATTTTCCCGTATCCGGATCCGCAGAGCCGCACCGTGTCGCGGCCGTAAATCCTCCTCTGTGAATTAGCCAAATCCTTTCCGAAGCCAGCCATGCCTGTTCCTGTGCCAAATGTTCCTCAGAGCGCGCCTGCAAGTACAAAAACAAATAAAAAAATTAACAAAATACTCAACGAATTCAGTATCGGCAACCTAACCTAGCTTAAAAACGAATAAAAAAAAACCTTCAATACAAAAAATATCACCACCTCGCGTACGTTCCTCCACTTAGCTTCGCATGGTGAAGTTTTGTGAACACCTCGAACGCGCTTCACCACGTCTAACATATAGAGAACCAAATAGAGTACTATGGCGGTATGAGCAAGAAACATAGTTCACGCTTTGAACAATCGACACGTTATGTTGAACAGTCGTACAATACAAAGCATGTTGAACCCGAGAAAGACAGTTAGGTGAAGTAGGTGGGTTTATGCGATGCCACAAGATCTACGCACTATGGGTATTAATTTGGTAGCAGGAGCTTCTGGAATTCCTGCGGTGCCTCCTTGCTCGCGTTCGATTGCGCAAGCATGGTCGGTAACATAGATACAGAGGGTGGTATATAGGTTATGTCGTATAACTTTTATTTCTTCTATCAAAAGCGACAGGGGCACGCACAGTAGAATGCAAGGCATTCACGCTTACTATGTAATCATCTGATTAACGTTAATTGCACCAAGTCCAGATGCCGTTGGAAATGTAACACCCTGTAGAAATACACGCAGTGTCTATGCATCCAATGAATGAGGCTGTCTGTGCACTTGAGAGACGGAGAGTGAATCCATCGGAAGATTGCACCATCGAAAGATGCAGAGCCAGGGCCACTTGACCCCGCGTGAACTTTGCAAATACCTCTATATACCGTGGTTCGCATTTACCAAGAAGTCTTTATTTAACCTGGACAGATTTTTCATGGACGCGAGAAGAAATCGACAAGTATTATCTTTTATTTTCATCCTTTCTTTTTTACTATGTGAATTCAAGCGGCTCCTCGGAACCGGTCTTACGCGAGGAATCTTCGGCGTCCTGTTCTGTTCCTGAGTGCGTTGGCAGGATCATAAATATAAGCGTAACGCTGGGACCACTGGTATCTCTTTTTTATTTTTTCAATGTATTTTCATCAAAACTTTTAAGAACCCACCATTAGCCTCACCATGTGAACGTAACGAGTGCGTTCAGTGGGTTGAGTACAGAAAACGTAAGGATCGAGATTGTATTTTACGAATTTTATTATCATCTCGTTACTCCGGCATTCTCGTACATTATGAATTTAATTGTCGACAATTGTCAAGTAAAGTGGCGAATGCGTTAAAGTTTTAACAGGGAACCAGCCTTCTTCGAGCTTTACGTATTTTAATGTGTTTAATGACGCTCGTATCAGGACGCATGAGCGAATGCTGCGCATACTGCGTACGTTACGAATTTAATAGTACAAGTGTGCAACGAGTACCGTTATACGTAATCGTACTTCTTACTGGTCGATCCATGAAAAGTAACGAGAAATTACGTCCAATTAGAGAGAGTGGAGGTAACAGCGTCATGAGCTTCTTCAATTTTTCCGAATTACCGTTACAATCGCGTGAACTCCACCCGAGGGGAGTTTACGTAGAATTTTAGAATTTTTTACCATGAAACACGCAAGTTTTACACGTTGGAAGAAAAACAAAAGTTTCTCTATGATGCATCACGGAAGTAAAGATCCCAGGACAATTGAATTATATATCACGTGGCTCTTATTAGGATTCTTCGTGACCCCTTTGGGACACTGCACTTAGTAATAGAAGTACTTTGGGTTGTGGGTCAGGGGTCGGATGACGCAGTTGAGATTTATCGACCGTTATAACCAAGTCGTTAACAGCCGCGTTGAAAGTTTGAACAGCGGTAACAGATTTACCAGGATGCAAATTAATTAAGCGAAATTGTGCAATTTCATTTTTTTTTTTCATACGTAATTCGCGATTTCATTTTTATTAATAAAAAAATGCAAACTCTCCCGAGTAATAATATATTACGTGCAATTCGATCGGTGCTGATGTGAAAACCCGTTTATGGCCAATTTACAGGATTGAACTGAATTTTTATGTGCTATTCGTTGGATGCATGGACGACTACCACGCCTCTCGTGGGAACAGATCCGTGTGATTATTGGCGTGACGCTTCGCGTCCTCTACGAAATATCGATTATCGTGTAAATTTTCACAAAAACAAAAACCCCCACGACTACCTCTTCTTGCAGTGTATGCCGGGGGAAGAAAGAAAATTTCTTTTTAAAAATCGCACCAGAAGGCCACGGATACAAAGGGCCGATACCAAGAAGAAGAACAAGAAGAGGGGGAGACACGGCTGAGAAGTGATCAGCCTTGGGTGGCTTACCTGACTTTTTCGGCGCCATATATGGCCCATTAATGGACGCCACAATTCATTCGAGATTTAATTGCCAAGACGCCGGATGATTTACAACAAGCCGCTACTACGATTCGCGATCTAAATCCAAACGGTCCACCCTGTATATCACTGTGACTAGAACAAACCTACACCTTAGGTATACGCTTGCAACACAAAGTTGGCTCAATAAAAAAAAATTAAAACTTTATTGCCGTGTTATGCTAATCGCGTTACGTAGCGCCATAGGGCTCATTTGAGTTCGTTATGCCTGCTATGCCTCGATAAATTGACTTGAGATACCATAGTGATTTTGCTAAACGTTAAATGCTACTTTGTAGAAAATTAAACCGAAGCAATATAAAGTAAGTTAGTATAGCTTAGGACTGAGTATGCTGTTGCCAAATAAATTACACCCACAAGCACTATCAGTTATTATAAGGCACTCGCGATAAATAAATTGCACGCTGGGTACGTATGGGTATAAAAATAAGTGTATATAAATATACATATTTTTTTGGAAAATCATTCTGAGTCAATATTGACTGATACGGTAACCAACAATAATAACAATATTGACGAGGAAACATGTAGTAACAATTAAATCTTATTTTGGAAAAATTATTCAATAACGCACTAGTTCAAATCATTAATGAGACACGCTGTACAATTACCGGTCCAGATATTGAATTTCATGACTCTGATTGCTCCGAAGGAACTTCCCTACTGTGATTGACAGTAACAGCTGTATAATGGGTGAATCGTTAGGTTAGTAGTGCGCAATAACAAATTGAACAAACGACTATCGAATGTTATATTCTTTATGGCAGCTGTTTTGTGCCGCTACCATGTTCATCGGACGATTTAAAATGATTTGGGTTCAGATGAACCCGAATGACAGCCATTATGCATATACAAATATAATAGATTGTTAACGACTAGAAGGATACAGTAACACAAGGACCAGCTACCATTTTAGGTATAGCCGTTTAGTATACAGCGTCTAGTAATTCAATTTAAATTTCATTACCTCTCGCACGGTCCGTGTGTCTTTAACGTAATCGACTCTCGCGATGATTTCAATGATAGATTCGGCCGAATGACAGATGCAATTTTGAACGAGGCTCCGATGGATATTGTATCGGGCTACTGATTATTTAATGTAAATTATATTCAGGTTCATTAGCTGCGTCTGTCATAATGATTTTAATGATGTCAATTATGCGTACGCGATTGGATATGGTTTTCAACGTATTTTTCTAGAATTATATCAAGACTCGATAAATTGTGAAATTAACTTCTTTTTTTTCTCTCATTTCACGTCATTAGTCGTAACGGTTACTTCGTTCTACGGCGATCGAACGTGTCTCCTAAAACGATTAAAAATATAACTCTCAGATCGCGCCATAAATAACGTTTCACGTGCGTTGCCAAGAGAGATGAGTGTGACGTAAGAGGGACAATTTGGTAAGCGTTTCTGTTTTGGCAGCCTTGGGGCAAACTACCGTATTTGGAGCTATTGGGTCATCGTGTGAACCGCCCCTGTAATTGTACTGCCCTGTGTGTACCCTACCTATAGTAAGTAGTTTTTCAGGTACTGCGCATGCGCGATATTCGAAGAGACGCACCACCGACTGAAGCTAGGCTCTGTCCACATAATTTCCGTGATAGAGCCAACTAAAAAAAAAAAAAAAAAAAAAATATGCACACAGAGAATTCGTAACCAATCTTCAACCAGAAATAATTAATCTCGAATTATTAAAATTCTTAAGAATTTTTTCAGGGTACAGAAACACTATTTTTCTTCCTGGATAATTATTCTTCAGCGTTTACAAGGAGATAATGTCAGACGGTATTATCTTGTTTATGCAGCGGTGCAGTATGGGTAATTTCATAACGTACAGTACGCAATGGGCGATCACTTCGACTTAGAATGAACCTTGAGCGTTATCGAAGGAATTCATCCTACACGCTTACGAGCACCCACTTTGTGAGTTTCCAATGTAGCAGGGACATTAACGACATTAAACTGCCAATCGGTAAATGCCGAGCGATACCAGCATCCTTTGAAATTTTGATTCCAATCGCAGGTAAAAAAAAAAACCAGCGCGATTAATCTTAGCGACGAATCATCATCGACTCAAGGCGATTTCCACGAATGTATATAACCTACAATGCTTCTACATTCTGCACGGGAAAAGTACGACGGGCGGTCGGGCGACTGAAAGGAATCTAGGCCGACGTGAATTTCATTTGATTCATCGCCATATTTGTATAAGGACCTCTCGATTACGAAATTACTCAGCGCGATAATAAGGGACCCATTCTCATACGTTTTTCTCTCGCTTTGACCTTCGTTATTAGAAATCTACTTCGTTACAGTATATCCATGGCAATCTCAATAGGAATAATTAATAATTCAATTAGGATCATTGATCGGCATTTTTTCGCGTCTGTAAGTCTTTTGAAAAGGACGATTTAAAGTGACTGCGTAGTATGAGGTCACGTGACCGTCTTGTCTTATACCTTATGAAAATATGATAATCCCGCGCCGCGGGCGTATCCAGATACGCTGAATGTTTCTTGGGAAGAAGAGAAGAATAAGAGAAGATTGAAATAAAAGAAACAGGCTAGGCCGTCTCTTGAATGGAATAAATTAAGGAGCTACGTGTCTTGCCAGTCGTGTAAGAAAGGACTCTCTTGGCGAAT